CACCCAGTTTTTGCATCACGCCGAAATTCTCAACGTCGATCCCAATGGATTCATATAGTTTGAAAAGGATAATTTTATATATATATATATATAGTTTATAGTTTACACTTTACACCGTTGCTTAGTGGTAAACGTTACGTTTGGATGATAAACTCTCAAGTCTCAACGTTGTGATCATCATCATCATCAGTCAATATTTTAACCTACTCCAGCTTTCCCCCTTACAAATAGCTCGGCGAATGATGAAGTGATTATCATATTCAGTACCCCACAGCACAAAATCTAACCTGCTAATCTTTCTGTCTCTTCTCAAATTAAGCTCCTTCCTTCAGTAACTGTTGCCGATCGCCATGGAAGCCCATAACTGCTCTTTCTTGCTCCTAAGCCTGCTTCTGCTGCTCTCCTCGACCACCGTTAGCTTGGCACAGACCGGCATTGCTAGCTTCACCAGTTCTCCTTATTCGAGTAAGTTCTTTACCATATACATCGCTCACACCCTACCCTTTATAACGAGTTAATTAATCAAGCATTATCACTACGAAAAAACTAGGATTTTTCGTGACCTGTGGTCTCCGTAAGTTAAATATTGGTCAGATTTACAATTCGCAACCCCGCGAAACTTCGGGTTGCAGCTTGATCATTCACACTTCTCAGGTCTCACGTCAAATATTATTCCCCACTTCCCCTGTTACTTTTCTGGATTGGTAACGAAAATGAGGAATAACTTTTGGTGACGAGTCTGTTTGGTTGCTAAAGCTCATTTACATCGGTCACCAAAAAGTACAAGTGACCAGTTTTCTTGGTAACGCGATTCGTTACGAAAAAAGTAACTTCAATTCGTTAGTGACCAAGATTTTGCTAGCCAGTATTCCTTAAGCCGTTCAATCCACTGCGCACTTAGAGTATGACTGCTTATATTGGAGTTGCCGGCCAGAATCCGCATACTAAGATTTCTCGATCATGAAAGACTCCCAATAACAATGACGATTTGCTCTGCTGCACGATCGGTCCAGAACAATCGTGCACCGACAAAGTGCCGAAAATCAAGATGTTCACAGGGCTGAACGAGACCCTGTACGGCAACGGGGACATCTGCGGCACGAAATACAGCGTTACTTGCCTCGGCGCCGTGGACCCCGAACAGCCTTCGCCCTGCAGAAAGACCAAAACCGTCACGGTGACGGTTACCGACAGCTGCACGGTGGAAGCCGACGGCGAGCCTTGCTCCACGTTCGTGTTGTCGGCGGAAGCCTTCGCGCAGATCGCAAGACCTCGGGCTGGGCTTGTCAAGGTTGCCTACACACTGTAAGTACTGAACCCCTCATCCTTTTTTTATTTTATTTTATTTTATGTTATTATGTTGAACAGAATTTGTTATAACGAAACATTTTGAATGTCTCTGCAGGGTCCCATGATAATCTATGCCCTTTTACAGATCGGAGATCGACTGGCTCCTTTAGCGGAAACAAGAATAGTAATTAGGGTTCCATAAAAGAAAAGAAGAGAAGCAAAAGCAAAAGCAAGCTAGGGTGAATTTGAAGATCGTGTAGACTTTGTGTACGTGTAATAAACAGTTGCCGGCCGGACTTAATTAGCTTTATTGCTCGATCGATCGCAGCTTAATTTTGTTCACGGCGACATGTACGTGTTAGCAACTTAGTTTAAATTGCCGTTGTTGTTAGTTTTCTTTCTGAAGTTGCCGACCGGACTATCTACTTCATCTCAAATTATGCTTCTCTCAGAAGTCAGATTGCCTATCGATCGAAGCGCGTATGAATGTCGTTTTGTCCGATGTGCAAATTGGTTCTCTTCAGAGTCCAACATATTCAGAATAAAATCGAGTTATTTGAAGAAAGTCACTATATACTCTACTTACACATAACACACCAATTAGTGACAATAAACTCTCTTCTCTGCAAATTATTCACAGCCACAATAGCATCATGCGCATGATTAACACACAAAGTACGAAATCTTTGAAGGAATAAATGATCTGCATACTAGACGACGATTAAAGTATGGTATAATTAGGAATCTAGAGCTCGCATTCAAAGCTTTATATATAACATGAACTCACAAAGAAAGATCTATGTAAAGTAAACCGCCAAATAACCTTTTACATTGCATATTTGCAATATTGCAACTAATGCAGTTCCATATGAAAGTTAAAGCGCACCTAAATAAATGGGGATAGTGGGATTTTATATTTTATATTACAAAAATTAGTTAGTGCGATGAAACCAACATGAATTGTGTTGTAAAAAAAAAAGAGTGGTAATGGGGAACCACATATACTGATAGAAACCCAATTTCCGAGTTTATTTGTAATTATCATAATTACTATAATTAGGATATTATTAGATATGGTAGTAGTCATTGAGTCATATTAGGATAGTCTATTAGGTTTTTCCAATCTTTCGTTATAAATATGTACTTTGCATTTTATTCAGAATCAGACAAGCAGAATATTAAGAAAAGACTTTCTAAACCCTATTCTCGATCTCAATCCCTCTAAAGGCCTAGGCCGATTCCCTATCTTTCTCTTCTCAAATCCCTAATTCTGTTCTTAATCCCTAAATCCCCAATTCTCGATAGAACCCTAATTCTAGGTTCTATCATTTGGTATCAGAGCCTCAATGAGCTCGATACGACTCTCTGATTGATCGTGTAATAAACAGTTGCCGGCCGGACTTGGCTTATATATAGCTGAATCGCAGCTAATTAACTTTGTTCAAGGCGACATGTGTTGGTATATGCCGATGTTGTTAGTTTTCTTTCTGATGTTGAGTATATCTACTTCATTTCAAATTATGCTTCTTCCAGAATGAAGCTATTGAAGCGTGAGTGTCATTTACTCCAATGTGCAAAAATTGGTTCTCTCCAAGTCTAACACATTCACAGTAATTCGAGATGTTTTAAGAAAACCAAATATGAATCTTATACTATTGTCTTATATCTATGACCGTTCTGGTTACAAAACAACTAGTCGAGCTGTTAGCTCTTACTAAATCCCTAGTTGCAAATGGGGCACTACCTAAATATCATTTCGCCTGTCGAGTGCTGAAAATTGACCCGACCCGTTTCTGATCTTGCCTGATCTGCTTTTGAAGATCAACTTATAAAACTGATTCTTCTTGCCCATGTTTCCTTCTCGACATGTTTGACCCTTTAGAGTCAGAGTGGGCCGGGTCAATTAGTCGGTTCAAGTCAATACACTGAATTTTTAATATGAACTCACAGAGAAATATGCATCTAAAGTAAACTGTCAAATAATCATTGTTGGATCACATCCCACCACATCCATGAAAAAACGAGTGCAAGAAGCGGCAAAAATGACATGGCATGCGATTTTACCATTGCATATTTGTAATATTGCAACAAGTGCAATTCAATATGTAAGTCACGGTGTCTAAATAAATGGGGATAGTGGGCTCCTATATTGGGATTTTCTATTACAAAAATTAGTTATTACAGTAATACTAACATGAGTTGTGTTGCAATTTTTTTTGAGAGGTAATAGGAAAATATATACAATTGATTTGGTAATTTCATTAATGCGGATGTTCTAACTCTCATTTTTAAAATAATAACCATTATTTGATTATATATTCATTAAATTTAAGACGTTAATTTTTTTATTTTGCAGAAAATTTTCCAAATTTCATGTGGTGGTCATCAAAAGGATTGTTGTGCTTATCTGTATCACTTTTGCTGGCTTCCCATTGGTAAGAGCATCTACATCAATGCAATTGCAAACTCAATTACATTTGTTGTTTTTGTTGCTAACTCAATAGTTTTGCAATCCATCTCATTTTACTTTTATTATACCTACATCAATTCATTTACAATTGCATAGATGATTTAATTTAACATATAAAGCAAAAATGAAAAGGAAATTAAAAAAAAAACAACACATCCTTCCCAATAAAATAGCCATCTTGGCTTTCATTTCCACTTGCATTATATGCAAGATTGCAAAATTATAATTGAGACCTACACTAATACAATTATATTTGTAATGCCAAATAAGCATCCACGTCACTTTGCAATTGCAAAAAGTGGCCGATGTTGATGCTCTAAGGGTAAAAGTTTGGTCCCCGTAACGAAGAGAAGTTTCAAATTCAAGGGTTATCCTAAGATATGCATTGCTATCACAATTAGGGTGTGCAACAAGTTGGTCTTTATCCGACTGCATTGGATTAAACCAATATTTAGAACGAACCATATTGAACTAAATATAATATGGTTTGGTCCTTATTCCTGTGAATTTTATAAATACTAGAAAAATTGACCGAGTTGACATTGGGGACCGAACCCAACCGGATCAAATACGCTATTTATCCAGTACTCGATCCTAAAATATATTTCACCATATATACCGCGATTCTCCTGAGTTTGGTCCGAACCGGAACGAAATGATTGCACCCCTAGTTACAACTCGCCTGATCTTAATAATTATCGTGTATTTAATATTTATTTCAATAACAAAACAAAACAAAAACAATAACACTTTGTGGAAATTGCAACATTGTTGTTGGTCGATATCGCTTGTATGAAAAAGAAGCCAAGAAATAAAAAAAGAGAGGAAACACAGCTACTAGTTAAATGTGTGAAGTACATCATCGATCGTAACCTCAGCCACTGATGACGTATGTATTTTCCAGTTGTTCCATGCATTTTTCCCATCTACACGTTGCTTGATCCTTTTCAGGTAAATTATTATTGACTATACTTAGTTTTAAATCCGGCCATAACCGCGGATAATTATTTTTTATAATACGCGATTATTTCGTTCGAATTCAGAGTGTGATGGATGCGGTACCATCACGCGACAGAAAGACTCCCGCAGGAAAAGCGAAGCGATGTAAAAAGAGTCCTTCGAATCTAGACCCTGAAATGATCGAAGGAAGTATATATTGTTAGTGAGTGATTACGATGAGTGCAGGATATCTGAAGGTTTAAATTTTAAAGTAGTAATAATTAATCAATATATATGTAGCCTACTCTTCATAGGAGATGTTAATTCCGCCTTCGTCGGGATCGGCAATTTCGGCGAAAGACGCCGCCGACAAGTCGATGGTGCCTCGGCAGCCGGTAGGGCACAGGTCGACGATCGTCACCGTCACGCTCCGGCCTGCCTTGCACGGAACCGCAACGCCGAGATTCGTCCCGCTCAAGCATGTCACCTTGTACCGCTTCCCGCAAGCGCTGCCGCCTTGCCACAGCACGTCCTGACTTGCTGCTGCTAGGAATTCGCTCTGCTCGTCGTACCCGTAACACGCCGACGCTGCGACATAGAGGGCAATAAACCAATTGATCACAAAAAAAAAACTCGAGTGGTTGATTAATGTTCAATTTTGAATCATGGATTATACCATTTACTAACACCTTTTGAATTTTTTTTTTTTTAAATTTGCACGTGTTGAACATATTATATCATGAGATCATCCCTTGTGTGAAACCATTAGACTTTCCGCTAGAGGTGGCAATTGGATCGGATTCGTGGATTGGATTGGTGGATCCATGGATCAAATGGATTGGATCCATGTATCAAATGGATTGGTGGATTCATGGATTGGATCAAATGGATTGGTGGATTGATCCATGAATCCAAATGACATCAAAGGCTTGGACCAAAATGTAAAATTTAAAAAGTTTTGGTACTAAAATGTCATAATGAAAATTTTAAGGTACCAAAATGTAATTTCCAATGATATTTTTCGTATAAAATATAAATTTTAGGTACCCAAATGTAAAATATAAAAATATAGGTATCAAATCGTAATTTGTCATTTGGATCCATGGATTGATCCGTGAATCCACCAATCCAATTGGATTTGGATCAAATGGATTGGATTATGTGGATAATTTGGTGGATGGATTAGATTGGATTCATGAATTTGGATCCTAATTGCCACCTCTACTTTTCCCGTTTGTAGCTACTATAAACCATTGTTTATATTGAGTTCCATATAAAGATTCTAAACAATGACCACCTCTCGGTCGAAAGCTCTGATATCATGTTAACGCGTATATGATATATTTGACCGTAAGCAAATGAAAGGGGGTCTTACGTATGTAAGGAGGAGTATAGAAGGTGGCATTGCCCGTTTCTCCGGCGCAGGGATGGCCGGAGAACAGGCAGAACGCTGCAAGTGCGACGAGAACGGCGGCCATCGAGTGTCGTGCGGCTGTCATCATTCTTCCGATCTAGGGAGCTAGGCAAACTGTAAATCGAAAGCTATATATGTTAATGGTGGAAGGCATAATGAAGAAACTGAACTGAAGTGAGACCGTATTTATACACAAAACGTGATATGCTTATTGCCAAAGTTAATTAGCCTTTCAGTTCTTAGTATCAGTCTCATGATAGTTATTAGTTACCAGTACGTAACTGCTCAGACTAATTTGGAGCCGGCGGATTGGGACACAAAGCTAAGTGACGAAAAAGATATCCGTCGTGCCTGAATGTTGGGTATAAATTATTCAGTTGTTGGGAAATTCTTCCAACTATCGAGATTGATTTATCAGATTCGTCGTACGTGTATGTTGGTATTATATGTACGTAATTTCGTTGTTGGGAGGGCGAAAACCTCTTCTAGTTAGCATCGGCGTACGACGGTGTTTGCAAAATCTTACTGTACGATGGTCGGAACGAAAAAAAATTGTTTATTGAAGTCTAAGTCGGTAGGCGATTTTAACATGGAAAATCTCTACCATCAGTGTTTGTCAATGAAATTAATCTGGAAAAATATTCGTAGCATCACATGAAACCTACCACGCACAAAGAAGTGTAGCACTTCTAAAGGAAGAAAAAAAAGATCGTCACCTCTAGGAGCGTGGAACAGTTTGGTCCGGTCCGAACCAACCAAACTCACGAGAATCGTGATTCATTAGTGAAAAGCATCTTAGGATCAAGGATCGAACCATTATTGCGTTTGGTCCATTTAGCCTGGTTCGATTCGGTCTAAATATCAGCTCCGTCCATCATTTCTTCAATAATTGTAAACTTCATGTGGACCAAAGACCATAACGCATTGCACACCCCTTACCCCTAGTCACCTAACTCACCTATAGAGACTAGACTAAAAAAAAAAATTGAAAAATAAAGTACCCGTCTGCCTAGTGGTTGGGCCTCAAGTCTCCCATAATGCAAGTCTTTCTTGGGTCCTAAAGCCCGCCCAAGATTATGCCACGAAAGCCCAGCGCACAAGGGAAAGAAGACCGGCCCGATATATGTCTTCTTTCCGACTTGCGAGTTCGCCCAATCACGCTGCGTGATTGACACAATTCCTACTAAATCTACGAAGAGGCCACATAACAAACTCTCTCTCAAACCTCTCATCTCAAAAGAGTCGGACCAAATAGAAACGAAGAGGAGGGAGAAGCGGAACTGAACAGCTAGGGTTTTCTTTCTCGTCCACTCTCGTGTCTGCGATTTCCTCTTCTCGCCAGGTGACTCTCGCGAAAAACTTACTTGCGCTTTTGCTGGCCGCGTCATGTTTGATTCGGCGAAGATTTTGAATTTGTCATTTTTCATGGTTTAGCGCGCTGCCGGTAGTCTATCTGTTTTTGCGTCGTCCTTTTTGGGGGGTTTCTCGCAAGGTTTAAGTATTTTTTGTGATAGATGTCAGAATCACGAAGCTCTTGAGCTTCAGGTGGGTACTGGGAAGAGTTAGCTGTTGTGGTTCTTGTTTGACCTTTTCGTTGCTTCTTGTTTCACAGATTTCATTGACGCAATGTCTCGTGTCTACGTGGGTAATTTGGATCCTAGGGTTAGTGAGCGCGAGCTTGAGGATGAATTCCGGAAATTCGGTGTGATCAGAAGGTTCAACTCTTACTGATTATTTGTTCCCTTTCCTATCCACAGCTTTTTTACATATGAGAATCGTGCTTCAATTGCAGTATGGATAGCACAGTAATGATGTTGCTGTATCAGAAGTTGGTGTTATCTCTGTGGTTGGCTCTTAATTCATTTGGATCGTTTGTTGTTGTACTTGCAGTGTTTGGGTTGCCCGACGACCTCCAGGTTATGCTTTTATCGACTTTGATGACAAAAGGGATGCTCAGGATGCTATTCATGAGTTAGATGGTATAAGTTTTTTCTGTTATCTGAAGTGGCTTTTTTCACCATTTGCTTCATATGGTTGTATTTTGAAGTCTTGTAAATTAGTAAATCTTGATGTCTACTTCTTCCTTTTCAATATGGATGCTTTATCTCTTCCCAATTGCCCCCTTTGCTCTGTGTTTCCGTGAGCTGATTTACGCCTCTCTGTGAGATGTAAAACTGTACTCTTAGCAGATAAAGTAGCTATCTATCTACCTGGCTCTTTGTTACAAATTTATGTATACTATAATCATATAGTGTTGGCCAGGTAAAAATGGATGGAGGGTTGAGATGTCCCACAACTCAAGAGGTGGTGGCGGTGGCAGAGGTGGAGGTGAAGGTGGTAGAGGTGGAGGTCGGTTTGGAGGTTCAGATTTGAAGTGCTACGAGTGTGGGGAGCCAGGTCATTTTGCACGTGAATGCAACTCACGTGGTGGATCAGGAAGAAGACGAAGCCGCAGTCCTAGATACAGAAGGAGTCCCAGTTATGGCCGAAGGTGATGCGTGGAACAAACTTCTGTATCCTTCTCCTTTTTATCGACCCATGTGAGCTGTTGGTCTGAAATCGGCTGCTTTGTTGTAGGAGTTACAGTCCTCGAGGAGGAAGATCCCCTAGACGCCGTGCTGATTCACCCCGCCGGAGCCTCAGCAGGTCGCCACCACCATACCGCGGGCGCGAAGAGGCACCACCCTATACCAATGGGTGAAGTTTCTACAACTTTATCTCTTATCATTTCATGGCGACCATTAACAAAAGACCATGTTTCATTCCAAAAAAAAATTGTATAAACTTTAGTTGTTATTGTCTTAGTTTCGCCATTGTAAAATGATTGTTTAAGCATTGTGAACTTGATTTTGATTTTGTCAGGAATACTTGTGCTTTATTATTATTTTTTTCTAACATATCGCTGTCTCTGTTTCTTTGCAGCAATGGTCTGAGGGAAAGACGCCGGAGCAGGAGTTAGAGATTTTACTATCATAGCTTCGTTGAGAGCTAAATGGATTAGACATGTTTATTGTATTGCGCTTCACTACGGCTATGTTGGCTTCTGCATCTTGGACTTGGATAAGTTTTCTTCTTACTGTGTGTATGTTGGTTTACAGTCACTCTGGGTTTTTGTTTGTTTTTCATATTTTGAAGTATCTGTAGGGAGTCGTACTAGTTATTTGAGCTGGATTGTTCCTTGTGGTGATGCTAAAGACTGTGCTTTTCTTTTGTGTTGAGGTTTCGTCTGCATCTGCTTCTGCTTCCAATCTCCCGTTGGTTGTGTGGTTCTGCACTTCCAGTTTCATTATCTGCTGCCCCTGCGTTTGGGATCTTCAATTTTGCATGGTTGGGGTCCCATCGTACTACTTCTGTAGATGCTTCTGTTTGATTGAACTCTCCCGGCTATGATGCGACGCCCTCAAATTCTTTTGGGACTCCACTTGTCTAGATGCTTCTGTTTGATTGAAATCTCCAGGCTATGATGCGACACCCTCATTCTATTGGGATTGCGCTGCCCTCAAATTCAATTGGGTTCTGTTGAGTTAACTTAAAAGAGAGCTGCTTCAAACACTTCTGGCAGGTACTTGCATCTGTTCCTGGAAGTCAAAAGTTTACAGATGTCGAGTTGATGGTTTTAACTTTTCAGATATCTTAAACCAAGCAATTGGATTCTTGGCTTATTCTGAAGCATTTTAAGTCGTGTCCTGTCAAAGCAAATCCCCTTTTGGTTTTCGTTTACTAGGGTTTGGTTCCATGGAGGTAGGGTTTATTTATATGCCAGTTTTTCAGAAGCACTTTTAAGTTGAGTCCTGTCAAAGCATATCCCCTTTTGGTTTTCGTTTACTAGGGTTTGGTTCCATGGAGGTAGGGTCATTTATGTGCCATTATCTTAAAGCATGATGAAGTTTTGAAAACGTCAACCAAATTGTATGGATGTGTGTCTTTGTTCTTCACCCGTTAATTCGTTTATTTGATTTCGTAATCTTAGATCTTTATGGCTTTCTCCAAGGTTTATGTGTCTAATGCACAAATATATGCATCTTTGATTGATATTTGTGTGAAAGTGGTTCTTCATTTGTCACGCGCCGAGGACTTTGGACTGCCTTGTCGAATAGAATGAACCTTCACTGAGAATCTTCCGTGTCCTTGGTTGTTTGGAGAGCCTTTTTTCTCTTCCAAGTGGACCAGCCATCCTAACCTCAGTGAAGCCTCGGGCTTTGTTGCCCTGCCTGGCTTATAGCCGCAGCTCCACTCGAAAAGGAGTCCGAATACTACAACTGTTGCAGGTAAGTCTCCCGTTGAATTGGTCGCATGTTTGTTTTGATGTCTAAGCTTTGAGGGACTGTGGAACTCAGCTTTATCTACCCAGCTCCACTTTTTTTTTGTCTGCTGAGAGAGTAGCTCTGTGGGGAAGACGATGCTGATTTACGCTGTGGTCTGTACTTTGGACTAAAAGCTAATCAATGTGTAGTTATGCAACCTTTTGATCCCCTGATACAGTTGTGGTGTATGATTTTGGGTTGTAAGATGATGTCGATTCCCTTTCCCGAGTAGTTTCGGTCAAATAAAAGTGCAGATGTAGGGGCTCGGAGGTTTTTGGATATGCTTCTGTGGTTATACATTACGCACGCCACTTCAGTTTTGAGCATCACCTTGATACTTTTTTGGGGCATTTTCTGGGTGACTGATATTTCCCGGCCTATTGAAATGATAGGGTCGAAATGAATTGTTTTGCTCGCGTCTTGTGTATTGAGTTGATTCATTAGTCCGCTACCATATGAACGAAATGGCGCACGTTAAAAATAGAGCATAGTAGAATTTAGGGGTAGGAGTTCTACCGGACCAATTTGATTCAATTGTCTCGTTTTGGTATAATTTGGAGGTCGTTTGGAAGTTGAGACTCTTCAAATATGTGTATTTGATGAATACATGTATAGTAAATACAAGAGTGGACGAATGTCTTGTTTGTTTGTAGTCATTCAAAATTTTTAAAGAAAAGAAAAAAATCATTTTATGAGCTAAAAGTGGAACAAATTAAAGCACATCATCTCAAAGAAAGAATCTCATATTTTTGTTGAGATTTAAAATGAGTGATTGTGGGTGATATAAGATTTGAGAGTCTATCTCAAAAGCATGTATTGAAGAATGAAGTTTTGGGGGGGGGGGGGGGGGGGGGGGGAGATGCATTCTCTAGAATACACGAATTCAAAGAATCATTCATCTAGAATTATAACTTTCAAACGACCTCTTGATCAAATTGATCTGTTTAGCTACGTAAAATTTGGACGAGACAATTTGGCATGAAGAATATCAAATTCACTCGTTTTTAGATAATTACAATTGTTTGGAGTGGAGTGGGTAATTCGAATTTTTGTTTCATATCCGAATTAAAAAAAATTATATTCAAATATTCATATTAATTCATTGTTACTTGATAATTATCTACTAACTATCTAATAAAATTGTAAAATTTACAGTACATTAGCCAAAAAAATAAAGTCTGCAACTTTAGCACTCTATTAAAGCAAAAATCAGAGTGCCAAAGAAAGTCTATCCATTTGGCATACCCTTGGAAATGCTTTTAGTTTTCAATGTTTTTTACGTACACTTTAGACTAACCCAAAACAGGAAATAAGTGAATTGACGTAAACCTAAAAAAGTGAAGGAAAAACAAAAATGATAAACTCACCAATAGTCGCATGGACCATATGCTTGGTTGGAGGAAGTAGCTCCATTAATAAAGCTTCTTGGACCACCACCAATCCATATCCACCTACTATAAAATTGACAATCAGTTCTGCATCTCCATCCTTCATATCAACCTCAAGGAAAGCCGCGGCTTCCAGTTGCCGATCCCCCTTTCCCCCACTTGTACTTCACACACACATATATACACAACCACTTAATTGTTGAAGTGAGCTTAGCTAGCGAGCTTAATTAGCAGAATGGCCAACACACTACTGCTGCTGCTGTCTTTAGCAACGGTACTTTTAGCGACGGCAGCCGGAGCGTCACCAGAGCTGAAATCGGGCTCCTTCTACTCTCCGCCGTTCGAAATGACCCCCGGAAAAGTCGTCTTCGACTACTTCTACGGCGTCGACTTCCCCACCGGCCACCTCGCCGTCAAGACCTTCCGCGCCGACCTCGTCGACGACGACGACGTCGTCATCCCCTTCCACGAGGTCTACCTCCACCACTCCTCCATGTCCCGCTACTACCAGGCCCAAAACTACTCCATCCCTTCCGTCCTCGAGACCGAAACCCTACCTTACTCCGAAACCGGCGGCTTCGTCTACCGCCGGAACGACGGTATCTGCCAGTCTGACATCCTCGGCCAGTACCTCGGACTCGGGACCGAGATGCAGAGCACGCCCTACGTCGTCCCCGACCCGTACGGGATGGAGGTCGGCGACCCGGCCCAAATTCCCGCCGGGTGGGTTCCACATTATTTCACTCCAATATTTTTACAGAATATTATCGTCAATTATTACTGTGGTTCTTATATTATTGCTCTGTCTTAATATCCTAAAAATGAAGTTGACAAAGGTTGTGTTTAAAATTACTAATGATCATCTAAAAAACAACAAAGTTACATTTTTTAATCTTTACATTTTCTTTAATAAACAAACATCACTTTAACTGAAAAAATGAATAACACGCAATCTCTCACACTCCCGAATTCATCGTTGACATTCTGGAGTCGTAATCGTCGAGAATATGTCCTAGTCATGAGTAATGACTCCGACGAGGTAAAAATCCCTCAACTGAATCCAATTTTTGATTTTACCATGGTTCAACCAACGCCAATTTTCGGTTGTTTCATGGATCAACAAAAAATCAGCTTCGGCTGTATCATGGACCACCTGAAAACTATCTTCGGTTGAGCCTTGGTGCAACAGAAGGTAATTTTCGGTTGGTCCATGGTACAAGCGAAAATTGGCTTCGGTTGAGGGGTTTTTGGATTTTTTTTATTTTTGGGTTTTTCGGTTTATATCAATAATTTTCTATTCTTTTGCTACAATTTATGGTTCGGTTCATAAGATAATTTGTTGGATTTTGGTTTATATATTTTTTTTAATTTTATGGAAGGGGAGGGTTGTTTGTTTTGTGTTTGATTTTGAAATTCAAAATGGACAATTTGATAAATTACGTATTAAGTTAGAACGATAGTTAGTAATTTTTAGTACGACCTTTAACCATTCAGCTAAAAATCTCATCATATTTCTGCGGTGCCCAACAGATTCGACGAGAAGTGGCTGCTGATGGTCCACGCGATCGACACGCGCGGCGCGGTGGACCGGTTCGGGTGCACGGAGTGCAGGAGGGATTTGTACAATGTTTCGGTGGACGGCCTTGGTCGGGAGCTGGACCAGTTCGGGGAGCCGCTGCCGGACGATTATTACGGAGGGTTGTCGTGCTGTTACGCGCACACGCGCTGTAAGGTTAAGGAGGGGTTCCACGCGCCGTCGAGGATGATTCGGTTGAGGTACTCGATGACGTGGACCGAGTGGGAACCGTCGATTGTTCCGATTAGGGTTTACATCTTTGATATCACCGATGAGATGAAGTTGAAGGTGAGTCGTGATACCGGCGCGGTCACGGCGGAGCATGATTGCGGGGTAAGAATACTGATGATCGTGAATTTTTTTATTTTTTTGCCTGTCTTTGTCAGCTTCTCGTACACTGTTAGGTTTATTTTTTATTTTTTTCATGAATTTGGTAAAAAAAAGTGGGTATCAAAAGGAAAGAAAGAAACCAACAGGCTAGATAAGAGATGTCAACAAAATGACGATGGAAATAAAAACAATGCAGGATGAAGTTTTTATTTTTTTTAATGGTGATAAATCAAGCTGCTTCTCAGGGGGTGCTTCCGTTCCATCCTCAGTGTGAGAATTTGGGTCTAACCCATTTAAGTTTTGCTGATGACTTACTCATTTTTGCTGAGGGATCAGCTTTTGCTTTGAACAATTTGAGATCTATTTTGAATGACTTCTACAAGCTGTCTGGTCTTCAGTGTAATCCGGATAAATGCGAGGTTTTCTTTGGGGGGTATGCCCATCAGTTTAAGCAGAATGCACTTCGGATTTCTGGTTTTAAAGAAGGTACTTTGCCTGTGAGATATCTGGGTTTGCCCCTTCTGGCTGGCAAGCTCTCCAGTAGAGAATGTGAAGTTTTGATTGATAGGATTACAAGCAGAATAAGAAGTTGGAGGGCGAATAGATTGTCTTATGCAGGGAAATTGCAGCTAGTAGAGTCAGTGTTCTATTCTTTACTTCACTATTGGATGGCCATTTTTCTCCTTCCTAAGAAGGTGCTTAAAAGAATTCAGAAAATTTGCTCGGATTTTATTTGGCATGGTGATAAAACGGGCAGAGCTAAAGTGGCTTGGGAGATTATTGCTATGCCCAAGAGGGAAGGGGGACTGGGGTTGAAAGACTTGGTCACCTGGAATGTAGCTGCTATGGCTAGACTTATATGGCTACTGCTCTTGCAAGGGGGTAGTTTTTGGGTTGCTTGGATATCCCGATACAGGTTACGAGGAGATTCTGTTTGGGAAGCTAAAGTATCACAAGCAGGGTCCTGGATCTGGAAACAGATCTTAAAAGTCAGACCATGGCTACAGTTTAGAATGGAGGGATTTCAGGGTGGGGTGACTTGGCTGGGAAAGAAACTGGAAAAGTATTCTGTAACTATGGTTTGGGACACTATCAGGAGGAGGCAGCCTCATGTCAGTTGGTGGAAGGTCATCTGGAATAGGTTTGTGTTGCCTCGGAACAGGGTGCAGGTCTGGCTGATCATTATGGATCGCATTGTTACTAAAGATAAACTTAAGATGTGGGGTAAGATTAATGATAGTTCATGTGTGCTATGTAATGATTTAGAGGAAACAAGGGATCATCTATTTTGCCAATGTCCTTTTCTTAAGGAGTTGGTTGCAGTTTTGTTGAGAGAACAGAGAAGGGGTCCTAGCAGCTGGGCTGAACTGTTGAGCAGTGTTGAAACCAGAGTGAAGACGAAGGGTAGCTGTGGGCAGATTGAAGCGGCGATCTGGTGCTGGTGTATCAGCGCTGTCTGGAAAGAGAGATGTCGAAGAATTTTTGGGGAACAATCTCGCACAGCAGTGGTGTTGGCAGAGCAGTTAAGAGATGACATCAGATTATACTCTGTGGCATTCCCTGAGTTTCAGTTACTGTTAAGCAATTCTGAGTTTTGTTGTAAATGCTTAGTTGAATAGGTGTTTTGATTTTTGTTTTTGGTTTACCTTGTAAAGGACTGGTGGGAGCAATCCTTTTGCTTGCTGTGTTTTCGAGCTCTTGTGCTAAGTTTAGCCAAGAGGGTGCTTTAATGGAAACAACACTTACCGAAAAAAAATGGAATAAAATAGAGTTCACAAAGAGAATTCACTAGACGAGAATAAGGGTGAAAATTGGTATCACGATATCAAATATGGAATAATTCACTCAAAACAAAATTTGTATCCTAATCTCAAAATATATGTAATTTATAATCAAATAGATAAGTAAATAAATAATGGTTTGAACACTCCAAATCTCGAACATTTTTATATAAGGGAGGCTTGTAGGTTTAATTTTATGATTGCAAAAATCTTGGTGATGGGAAGTTGAGGTGAAAACTCTGAAAAACACTAATCTATAATGGATTCATCACAAGTTCCCATTTGGGGTCTAAGAGACTCAACAAAGGGTTTTGAGTCAATCTGGAGCTAATGCATGAAGAAGGAGAAGAGAGCCGATGGTGATATCTCAAATTTTGCTTGAGAGACGACTAACAAGAGTGTCTATTTTCTGTTGGTGTTATGAAAGTGACAAGAGATTGGGTGAGTAACGAGAGTGATCCGAGAATCTGGACAACCAAGCTTGGGTTGGATGGGGATTGCAAGTCGTCAAAGAGGAAGGAAGGACCAGAGATTGTAGGCTCCAAGCTCATATTAATTAATATAATTGAGATACTTTTTGATGATGTTTCCGTATATATCGGTCCATTTTTATAATCTCTAGTACCAATAACAATCCAAAATCAGTCTCAATCCTAACTAATTTTTTTTGTTTTGATATTCAATAATACCAATAATAGTAAATTTGGTACGATATTCAACCGATCCCTAAAATGTAATGATATTCCAAAAAAAAAATTATGATATTCAATAATATAATAGCCAAATTTTGTGCTAAGAAATATCTACATATATCCTCAACCCATGTCATACATCAAACAGCTAACGACATTAATCATTTAATTTCCAAGTAATATCTTCACCGCCACCTAAAAAATTTCTTCCTTTTTTTTTTTTCAAAAACCATCGATCAAGCTTATTATTATTATCAATTACAGCTTGAATACATGGTGGAGAGCTGCCACGTGAATGGACCAAAGAACAACATTATTGCAGCAGCAGAAGACGACGATGACGACAAGAGATGTGCCGACTTCCAAAAAACCATAGTGCCGATGCCCAACGGTGGCGACGTGATTTTTGGGCTCACTCACCTCCACGGCGGGGCCATAAACTCCACCATATATGGACAGGTTCGTGGCTCTTCCTTCCTTTTAGGGTTACGTTACGTTACGTCGTGTTCTGAATTCTGTACTATGTAATGATTATTTGAACGGTGGAATATTTTTGTTCTATCAGGACGGCCGGGTTCTGTGCAAGACGGAGCCGATCTACGGCGAAGGAGAGGAGGAAGGTTACATCGTTGGGATTTCCACGTGTCAGCCTGACCCGGGATCCGTCTGGATAAACGACGGTGAGATGATCGTTCACGAAACCGTCTACACGGCCGCACGCCGACGCACCGGCGTCATGGGCCTTTTCTACCTCCTCGTCGCCGACCGCCGGGAAGATACCCGTACTCCTCCGGCTACGAATAGCTTCTTGCGCCTTCCTTCTTTGGTACGTACGTAACTGATAGATGATTTTTGCGAATCTTTATCATTTCATATGATTATCGATTGATCTAGCACGTGGTTATATATATGGGAATTGACGTGTGGTTTGGGAGTCGTGAATTGTGATTGTTTTCTGTGAGATTGTTACTGTTGTTTATAATGCATTATTTTATTGAATTTTTAGCAAGACACAATACATGGATTGTTTTTTGTGATGTGAGAGAAGTTATCGGTCAAAATGAATGATCGTTACATCTCAGCTTTTAGTTGAGATTGTTTTATCGCAGCTTTTATATGACATGCCAATCACACATACCAAACTCTGTATGTTAACTTTACAATGCATCAAATTCATCGTGTATGATATTATACATATATTCACAACGAGACATGTAATTAACAATCAGAACGAACTTCCAAACAACCCGAAATCCAATACTTTTGGACCACTTGTTGGTTTTTCTGATGAATTATTGGTGTGTGATGGGGCATGCTCAGCTGGCCGAGAAGGTGACCGTTGGGCCGGGAGTGACGGCGACGTCGACGTCGGGAGCCGTGGTGGGAGTTGGATTGCTTCTTGTGGCTGCTGTGGTTCTTGTTGTTGTCGTCGTCGGGAAGAGGACAAAAACTGGAGGTGGTTGCACATGGGTGTGATCAAGAATACTGGCCGCCGGCGGGGAAAATGAGATTATCTGGGTGTGACGTGGATCCGGCGGCCGGAGACTATTGTTACTTATGATTATTGTACGTCTTGGGCTTGGGTTTGTGTGATGATTATGCATGTTTGTGTGGGCCGGACGTGATCGGAGCTGGATTGGTTCTTGTCCGTTCGTTCGTTTGTTTTTATTTATTTAATAATTATTTTCGTTTCGTCCATTTTGGTCCCAGCCAGTGTGTCCGTCTGTGTCCGTGCATGGGACAAAATAATAAATATAAATAAATAAATAAGTGGACTTCGGTTGCAGTGCGACTCCGTCATTTTGGACTTGTTTAGTTTCGTTTGAAGGAGAGAAACATTTGCCTCTGGGGCTAGATCATAGGTTTGGCGATCTTGACTGAACTCTATGTTCTTTGGAATGGATGGAATTATCCAAGGCTTTTTTTTTTCTAAGTCGTGAACTTCATCAGGGATGTTGTTCCCTCTCATTAGGGCTGGGAAACGGTGCGGTCTGGTCCAGACCAGACCATATATACGGTCTACGGTCCAGACCGAGAGGCTAAAGTATAGACCACAGACCAGACCACAGACTATACGGTCTGGTCCAGACCACGCCTGTGCGGTCTGGTTCGGTCTGGTCTGGTCCAGATAGACCACACTCAACGAAAAATGAATAATTTGTTTAGTCAACCACACAAAAAAATTGAACCAATAACCAAGAAAAATAATTGTTATTTGCCTTAAAACATTAATCCTAACATGCATGAATAATTTTGATACTCTAAATCTTAGTACATAACAAAGATACAAAGTAAAAGCATCTCAGCTTGCACCATAATATCATAAACATTAACATAATGTCATATGGAGACACGATTATCTCTACTCTGTGGTTAAATGTGGTTGTGAATGAAGGAGGGAAGAGATTCACAAAATTAAGGTTGAGACTTGGGTGTCTTTGTGGGAGTTTGGAGAGTGGTCGAATGGGTTGTTAACACGTATTGACAAGTCAGTTGGGTCTACGGTTTGGTCCGGTAAACCGCGGTCTAGACCAGACCAGACCAAGAGATCAAATCATAAAATAATACAGACCATGGACCAGACCAGACCATACTTCACGGTCTACGGTCCGGACCAAACTGTGCGGTACGGTTTGGACCACGGTTTTTCTAACGGTCTGGTCTATTTTCCCAGCCCTACCTCTCATCCTATTTTATTTAGGTTGTTTATTGAGCGTCTAAGTCATAGGGTTCGAGGTTCTTGAAGGAAATCGGAAACCTATCTATTTATCTAAGGACGTGTGCTATCCCATCTCGTCTTTTGCTCATGATTTAGTCGTGTTTAAAGAAACTAATCCTATACAAGTTGAGTTAATGATAAAAGTGTATTGGACATATTTTGTGCATCTAGCTTCTGTGGCTACTTAGTAAACCCAATTCGAGGATCTTCTTATGTAGGAATGTCATTAAAAAAACAGTAGGAGAAGAGCGTACAAGAAAGTGATTCGAATCTCGGACTCTCCTAATAGCTCAATTAACAGTACGGAAATCAAACAGAAATCGGACACGGATTTACGTGGTATCCCTGGAATTCCAGGACTAATCCACGGAAGAGCGAGAACACTCTTCGGCTACTGATTTTACTGATTATGTTTGTTAACCCTACAGATCGACAAGAGCTGCACACAAATACCCCACAGCCGAACCCTAGCACCACTCATCTACGTCTACAACGTGGGCTATCAGGGTTGCATGGGCCTAACTCAACTAACAAGGTTATTGGGCTACACAACTTACGCAATAAGACTAATGACAGTCTACATAATTAACAGCCTCCCCCAAATTGATGCCGGTTAACGAGCATCAATTTGTTAGACAAGAAATGATGACGACTGCTTGTGAAGGTCTTCGTGAGCAAGTCAGCAACCTGATCTTCAGTACGTATGTAGTGGAGAGCAATGGATCCATCACGAACTTCATCCCGAATATAATGCACATGAATCTCTATGTGCTTAGTCCGATAATGTAGCACTGGGTTCTATGCTATCCGAATTGCACTAGTATTGTCCACAAATAAATCCATAGGAGTCGAGCACCGCACTCCCATATCCTCAAGAAGACGTCTCAGCCACGCCAATTCCGAGGCCACGTTGGACATTGCCCTGTACTCTGCTTCAGTAGAAGATTTTGAGACCCTATCCTGCTTCTTGCACCCCCACGAGATAAACGAGTCCCCAAACTGAACACACCATCCTGTAGTAGATCGTCTGGTATCTATACACCCGGCATAATCAGAGTCAGAAAATGCTCTCAAAGTGACCGATCCTGATATGGGAAAATGATTCCCACTTCCTTTGTACCCTGCAAATATCTAAGAATCCGGTATACTGCAGCAAGATGATCATCCCGAGGATCCCCCATAAATTGACTAACCAGTTGAACTGCATACGAAATATCAGGCCGAGTCGCAGATAGATAGATTAAACTCCCAACTATACTCCGATATTTTGACCCGTCTCGTACTTTCTCCCCTGTCTCTTTGCTTAGCTTCATATTATACTCCATTGGAGTATTTACCGGCTTACAATCCTCCATATTATGATCACGCAACAGGTCCATGATATACTTCTTTTGGCTAAGCAAAATACCCTCTCTACTGCGCGATACTTCCAGCCCAAGAAAGTAAGATAGGTCTCCCAAATCTTTAATTCGAAAAGCCTTCTGTAACCCCTCTTTTAGATGCCGAATACCATCCAAGTCTGAGCCTGTGATGATCATATCATCCACATAAAGAAGAAGGAGAACAATACCTCGCTCTGTTTTCTTGATAAACAGCGATGGGTCATTCAGGCTTTGACTGCAGCCAAGCTCAAGAAGAGTAGACTGGAAGGTTTCAAACCAGACACGAGGTGCTTGTTTCAGACCATACAAAGATCGGTTCAGTCTGCATACCTGTCCAGGAGTCCCGACGTTATACCCAGGTGGCTTCTCCATATAAATGACCTAATCAAGATCGCCATGAAGAAATGCGTTCTTCACGTCAAGCTGAGCTAGAGGCCAATTCTGCATAGACGCAACTGCCAGGAGAGTTCGAACAGTAGACATCCGAGCCACAGGAGCAAAGGTTTCATGATAATCCACCCCCTGCTCCTGTGAGTACCCCAACGCCACAACCCGAGCCTTATGACGCTCAATTGATCCATCAGGTAACATCTTGATAGTGTAAACCCACCGGCTCCCGATCGTCGGAGTATCAGGAGGCCTATCAACAACAGTCCAGGTATTATTGGCATGATGAGCATCGAATTCACTCCCCATGGCCTCTTCCCAAACCGGATCCCCACGAGCATCTTTGTAGTGAGTAGGAATAACATGAGAAGTAACACCGAAAGCCACATAATCTTGATAGTGGGATGGAGGAACTCCCTTGTTGCTGCGAGTGGATCGGCGAGGTGGAAGAGCCGAGGATGAAGCTGCAGGGGCAGGAGAAGATGAGGAAGGAGACCCGGATGAAGAACCCATTGCACCATCGGACGAAGAAGACCCAGAGCCGGAAGATAATGGTGTAGATGTGGAAGTAGACAAACCTGGGGAGTCAGGATCATCAGGGGGCAGCATGCCATCCGAGAGTACCATGGGCGGATCATCACAAGAGAACATGGGCAAAGTGGCTGAAGGCGGAAAAACTGACTCGGAAGGAGTAGAGGAATCAAAAAAACGAAGATGCTCAAAGAACACCACTGTACTAGCAACTCGAACACGTTGGGAAACAGGATCAAAACACAGGTAGCCTTTATGAACATCACTATAACCCATGAAGGCACACCGAGCAGTTTTAGAGGTTAACTTAGTACGTTCACGACGAGGCATAAGAACAAAGCACAGACACCCAAAAACACGAAGACGGGAATAATCAGGAGGACGATAATAGAGTTTAAAAAAAGGACTCTCATTACCAAGGACAGGAGTCACCTGATAGTTAATTAACCGTACAGCAGTGACTACTGCTTCGGGCCAAAAACGACCAGGGACAGAGGAAGCTAACAAAAGAGCACGAGTGAGCTCGACCACATGCCGATTTTTCCGTTCAACCAGACCATTTTGTTGTGACACACCCGGACATGATTTCTAACTCAGAATACCACGAGAGCGATATTCTTCTCGTAAAGGAAACGAGCTAAACTCCCCACCAGGGTCAGACCGAATGATTTTGACAGTTTTCCCAAATTGTGTCTGAACCATATTGAGAAATTCAACAGCCACATAACGAAGATCAGATTTCAAACGAAAGAGATAAATCCAAGTATATCGGGTGGCATGATCAACAAAGAGGGCGATGTAACGGAAACCATTACGAGAAACAGCAGGGGCAGGACCCCAAAGATCGGTGTGTATCACATCAAAAGGTTCATGAATAACAGTGGTACTGGAAGGATAAGAAATACTGACAGTTTTAGCTTCTACACAGCTAGTACAAGAATGATCGTCCGGAATACTGACTCGAGTTTTACCTAACAAAGACTTTTGAAACATAACACGAAGACGAGCTGAGTGAGGATGCCCCAAGCGAGCATGCAAAAGATCCCACTCCTTATTAGACGAACTTGACTCTACTAAACACGGCAAAGGACTAATGACGGACCTAACCACAGAATTTCGATTAACAGGAGAAACAGAATGCCCATGCAGCTCTTCAAGATGAAAAATACGCCCTTGCTTACTCCCCCTTCCGATCAGACTTCCCGTCTTCGAATCCTGTATAAAACATCCAGACGGAGCAAACGACACAGTACACCCTTGCTCAGGAAGTTGCCCAACGGAAACAAGATTAGGGAGAAGAGCATGAACATGCAAAGTATTACGTAAAGACATATTTTTATCCATCACATCACCCATGCCTTTAACTTCTAATTTCGAACCATTCGCCACTGTTAGGTCGATCTTTGGGACAGCAATCACATCCGTTAGCACACTAGAATCATGGGTCATATGGTTATAGCAAGTTGAATTGATAAGCCACGGTGTACGAGTTTTTTCCCTAACCAGCGTCCCGAGCACCCCATCAAACTGTAAAATTTCTCGGTTCAGGAGAGTTGCGGGTACAGCTTCAAACTCTGGTCGGAGCTTCATCAAAAAATCAAGGAGCCGAGTCTGCATCCTTTCGGCGATGGCGTCTTCAGTCTGCACATTGCGCGGATGCAGCGCTGCATGGAGAAGATCCTGCTCTGTCCAGAGCTCCTGCGCAGCGTTGATACCATGATAGCTCAATTAACAGTACGAAAATCAAACAG